GGTTGACTCTCTTCAAACAGTGTACATTAATGAACTTTATATAACCCCTTGATACCTGCTAAGGAATTAACCGTAAAATTTTCCAATCGACTGCTTACTTTCATGTGCAGCCAGTGATAACACCATCAAAACCCAAGTACTAAGAAGTTGTGTTTTACAAATGAAACCCAGGGATCAGTTCTTTCACTCCTTAGGGGAATGCATTTCATTGCAGCCATGATTAATGCAGCCATGTAAGTGCCAGAGTATTCACTAGGAAGTTTTCACTAAATGAAATATTGACTCAGCCCTTCAGCATGCGAGGAACAGCTGGAAAAAAACTACTGTTGAGATCCTCTAAGTCCCAGATATATTTCTTAAAACATTTATCAAATTGATTTGGCACTTATTTTATTTATCACTATTCAGCACTGGTTTGTTCATATTTATTCACAGTGGTCATAATGCATTCACTCATCAATGTCCCCTGTAAAAGGAAATTTGATATAAATCAAGTTGATTTTTAACACTTGCACATTTGAAAGGTGTTCCCTTAAGTTTAGAACTCTATACCAGGCTTGTAAATATGAAGGAACACTAGAGTACTGCAAATATAAACGTAGGTGGTTATTGCCCTTTTGCTTTATTTACATCTTTATCTAAAGTTATTATTTTCTTTTTTTTTTGCACACACCTTGGACCATCCAGTTGTATATCCATTGTTGTATTGTATCCATGTTGTTACTTTGTTCTCATGCACACTATATTCTTCAGTTATGTGTACATTTATTTTAAAATTGGTTTGTAAGGCCGTATACAAATGGGTGCCAATAACACCTTTTCACTTGGGTCTGCAACTAGAGATGAAATATAAGGGGTTCCTTAGTACATAGGCTAAGCAATTGGTTTTGTAGGTTCTAAATTTGTACGTTTATATTTGATAGTTCAGTTATATTTGTATCAGTTAGAGCAGTTTTTTTTCCCTCCTGTTATTCCATGTAAGAACCAATTAACTTTGTGTAAAAGGATGAGTTTTGATGATTGTATGGACAATTAAAAATAGTTCGAATTTTTGTCCACCAATAAAGGTGGTGATATCCTGAATATATGATGTCAGCAATTGAGATGATAAACTTACTGTAGATGTATGCAGAAATGTTGCACACCTTTTTCCAAGCATGCAACATAGATTTTTTTTAAATGAAATAAAGATGCCACAGATGTATTAATGAAAGTCAGTATAATTTACCTTTCATAGGCATCTGATATTGTGTGGATCTTTCTAAATGTTCACCAGTTAATCTATCGTTAAAATTGGCAGCCTGTAAAAGAGAAATCATCATAAACTATTTTTCCATACCTAAGGCTTAATCAATGATTTGCTTAGCTTGGTTTTGGTTTTCTCTACCTATTCTGTTCTGAATTTCTGTCTGTTTATCTATGTAGGTGCACTGAAGTACAGATTTAGTTTTTGTAATGTGGTATTTTGAAAGGATTACAGTTACTTAATTAAATGTTTTGGCTTTCATAAATAGTAAATAGAGGTTTTTTTTAACTATCTGGATTTTGGGCTAGGCTAGACCACTAAAGCTTTATAGTGATTTTTTTAATTCACATATAAGTGACCAACGCAGGGGCTATCTTGGCACATTTGGTCCCTAGTAGCAAAATAAGATCATTACACTGCCCTCTTTTACATGTATTTACTTATGATATTGGTCACAGATGTCCCAACAAAATGCACAGACTTCCCTCTAGAGCCTTGGTTCTCAACTGGTGGGTCATGACCCAAAAGTGGGTCGCGACCCCGTGTTCAGTGGGTCACTGCATGCCTTCCACTTTTCTAGGTGAGAGGCTTCTCAGCCTCCCCCTAATGCAGCCCTGTCCGTTCTCACGCCAAGCAGCCATTCATATGCTGCTTGGCGCCAAGTGTCAGTTTGAGGTGGAATGGGCTGGAGCATATCCTGTAGAGGTGCCTGGACCGGAGTGACGTCACATTCTGGCTCGCAGGCATCTTTCCAGGATGTGCAAGGGAGTTGTACAAGCAATGCACATATGGATGGAGCTCTGTCACAGCACAGCAGCCCAGGCTGAGCATCCACTCCAGTTCTCGTAAGGTAGGGAGACTGGGTGCATCATAAAAAGAAGACATTTTTTGGGAGTGTGTATGTGATTGTTTCTGTGGTTCTGTGTGTCTGTCGTTGTTTTGGAGGGCCTGTTCACACTAGTCCTGTGCGATTAATGCACTGTACCATGCAATCGCACCTACTACGCGTTCTGGTGTGGGAGGTGCGTTGCGTTGCCATTCATTTGATTGGCACCCCAAACACACCTCCTGCCCACAGTTCAATCACCCATAATGCGTGCAATGCTGTGCGTTCCATTGACGTGCGACTTGGGTAATGACTTAATAACCGAGGACAAATGTGGGTCTTGAGGTTACACAGGTTGAGAACCACTGCTCTAGAGCATGCATTCAGTCGCATGCATGTGTGTGTGAACTGTGTAGCTGCACTGTAAATAAAGGATGGGGTGAGTTGAGACAGTGAAGCACCATCCATAAAAGAACAATCTGTGAAAAAAGATATTTTAAAACCACTATCTATCAACAATGGTTTTTTTGTGCTTATTTTCACTTGTAACTCACGGTGCAGTGATCTGAATGATCACTATCTTAATAAACATAGGCCTGCAGCAACAGTAACAGAAATATAGTTATTCAAAGAAGTGCTGATTGGTGCAGCTGTTTTTATGGGTAGGGTTCAGTGAACACATAATTTATGGGCTTTGAAAATATTCATGTATCACACTGAAATATGTTTAATGTTTCTTTCCAGAAGCTCTTATCTTTACAAACATAAATTACAAGATACATATAAAAGAGCCATTCTAGTTAAGTATTCATAAAAAATATATATATATTTTCATTCCCCTGCTCACAAGGGCTTAGACCAGGGCCAGCACTGTGAACCAATCTGTACTCAATTTAATTGGCTAGATCTCAAAACATATAACAGTGGGAACTTGCTCATGGGTAAGGAGAGCATAAAAATGACCTCCTCAGTGTACTGCTTCATTGTCCAGTGAGTAGGGTAAGTTTGGTGGCCAAACTATATTGCATATCTTAAAAGACAAAAGTTATGTCATTTATCTGGCTATGCAATTTATCATTGGTATGAACATGTAAGCATGGATTTGTACCATTTGAATATGAATGGCAAAAAAATAAATCTTTCAATAGGCACAAAATATACATATTTGTGTTACGATTGTGTATATAGTGACTAGGCTAGCGTTCTACCGAAGAGTGGATGGGTTGAAGCTCTCTTTTAGATTAGTGCATTGTGTACATTACTTTTTTTAGTGCCCCATTCCAATAGCTTAAAATGGCATGGTAATCAATTAGAAGACACGTCAGTAAATTATATTGTGTTAAATCCACAGAATTCCATATTGTGATCACTTTAAACGAGCAGCGGCTCCCACTGTACATTCAGCTCTGCTTGTCAGGAGCAGGGCTGAATGTACAAAAAGAAACAACTCGCCCGGCGATAGGTATTCGCTCCATAAGACGCAGGCACGTTTTCCCCCTCCTTTTGGGGGAAAAAAAGTGCGTCTTGTGGAGCGAAAAATACAGTATGTTCCACTAGCTATCCCTTATGGGTTACACTTATTTTCTTCCACTTTACTCACTTCCTTCATTCTGACCTTTTAATTTAATCAACTCCCCAGCACTGAATGTCTAACTCCTAATCTAGCCTTAAAATGGACACACTGACCATACACTAAAATTTAACCTTTAGCCTGAACCCTAAAATTCACCCCCATATCCTAACCTAACACCCATAACCTTACCTAACACTTTAATGAACCCTTAAATGTTACACTAACACTTATCCCTATCCTTTTTCCTAATTGTAAGGTGTGACTAAAGCCAAAATGTTTATTTTAGTTTTAGATATAGTATTTTGGGGGCTAGTACCCTGTCATGTTTTTATTGCTGTCTGTATCCCCATTTGGACCACGATCACCAGAAATAAAAGTGAGGAAAGGAACATTTTAAGTTGCCCCACCAGAACAGGAATAGAGGGGGACAAATTTATATGGGAACCCTTGTTCCGGTGACAACTGTTTAAGAGGTGATTTCCCTCACATTGGAAACATTTCCAGTCATTTCATCTTGTCTCTACAGGATGAGAAGTGAAGGGAAATCTCCCCAATGTGACACAGGTGAAAAAAAAAAAGAACCGAACCATTTTTTTTAACCACTTCCTACACTGCCCAAAATATACTTTAACCTTCTAAGTGCTAACTCTTAAGTTAAAAGTGACTCTAAACTCAGAAGTTAAATCTTAAAAATGCATTCAAGTACCCTATTAATAAGAATGTATCTTATTTGTGTATCACTCGGCTGTAGATCCTCAAATCATCTCTGAATTGGTTCTGACACTGTCCTTTCTTTTCAAAGGTGACTACTTTTGTTCCCCATGGTCCCTGTGTGTGTTGTTAAGTAGTCACTGCTCCAAGCTTGCTCCCGTGATAGACTGTAGCTTCAATACAATTTAGCTAACTAAATGTGAGATTGTAGTCCATCACAAGAGTGAGTTTGGGGCAGTGGCTACTTTGCAAAACACACAGGGCCATGGGAAGAAAGTATTCACCCTCCAGAAGGAAGGACTGTGTCAGTATTAATTCAATGTTGATTTAAGGATCTACTGCTGAGTGATACACAAACTACCTTTTTGATAATAGTTAAGGTACTTGAACGCATTTCTAGGTTTTATCTCCTCAGTTTAGTGTCACTTTAAATGATCCTTTAATCCAAGAAAAACCTGAATTATCATCTGAAATGTTGGCCCAGTGCTCACACAATGGCAGTTCTTGCCAGGTTCAGCTCTAGATCATTTCTGTGCCAGTATCTTTGGCTTGACAACTATTATTTTGATATTTATGGTAAAGTAATTATACTTATCTATGGCCTTTATTAATACTCAGCTTGCTTGTTTTTCTGTTTGTTTTAGAGGCTCTTTATTAAAAGTGTTGCCTAAATTAAGATTTCTTGATGATGAAGAAATACACCTTGAGGATTTCACCCCTCACAGCCCTTGTTTGGGAAGTTTCTTGGCTCTCTGTCAAACTCAGATATTCAATATATGTAAATTATGGAAAAAACTAAATATTGAAGAGGGGTAAGTAGTACCAATGCTCTAGAATTAGCATAAGCTTCCCCCTGCAGTGAGTGCAGGGGGAAGAGGCCGCATTATAATATAACTAGGGTTGCACAGATACCGAGTACAGTACTCGGTACGAGTACATGTACCGATACTTTTGAGCTCCAAGACTACACTAGAGAAAAATTCAAAAATTAGTAGGCAGCTGTCATTTGTAAGGAGCACACGGAGCTTCTGGGATTTGTACATCTCTGTTTTAATGTACGATTTTGTTTTTATAAATATAAATAAAGTGATGCACAGATACCAGTTTTGCGAGTACGAGTACTGGTACTTGCCGAGTACTTACAAGTACGAGTACTGATACATTTTTGTTTATTGTCATGTGACAGTTTTTCTAAAACAATACAGATTATTTCAGGACAGTGGTGGAGCCATCCAGGAGGAGGATAGTAATCAGTGAGCCTCTTTAGCTTTTCCCCTTAGTCACGGCAAGCTTGATGTCAGGGAGCAAGGAGGGTGTGAAGAGAGGTGGTAGATGCAGTGGTGGTTGCTGTGAGTGTGTGTAGATCTCTCATAGCGGCTCTCAGCTATGCAGCTATTTGGATCGGCAGCCAGACCATCTGTCTGTTCTGGCCAAAGTATATATATATATATTAATCCAGTCATGCAAAACTGAGGCTCTGCAGAGGTTTCAGTTCTGACACACAATCTTAGAGTTTTGCTACACTTCTGTCCCTTCCTACGTATTTTTTTGAACTCTGCATCATGTTTTTTCCTCGTCTCCATATCCCTGGGTATCACTGTCCATAAAGATTCACAAAGCTGCAGAACAGTCTCTGGTCAGTATGTTTTAGTGTATCTATTCATTTTGATTCGGTGGCAGATGAAAAATGTAAGAGAAATGCAAAGGTGGCTTGTGTAATTTTTTTATGGACAAGAATGCTTCTGGCTGGAGAGAAGGAACCATGGAGCTAGATTCAGGCAAGAGAGTCTAAAGTAAAGAGCAATTGGTATTCAAAACAGAACGGTCAACTGTATTGTCTTTTTCCCTAGGCTCTGGTCACAACTTCCTCTGCAATTCCCAAGTTATGGACGATTGAATTAATATGTAGTTTAGTAGGATTTGTTTTAAACATGAATAGATCCTTGGGCAAAGCATTCAGGAGTCATAGCTGGATTTTAAAACTGTAAAACATTTTGATTGCTTTTCACATGAATTATGTTTATTTTTTAGAACATGCTCTTCTCCGGAAAGGCTAGACCTTTACTGTGACACTTTAAAGGAGCTGCTTAAACTGAGCAGTAACCACAGATATGCACATGAGTATGGTGACACAGAAAGTTCTGAGAGAGCTGATCCAGTCTTTGCAAGCAGACAGCATAATAATCCTGTTATCAGTAATTCAAATGAAGATAAACATGATCACACATGGCAGAACAAAGACTGTGAAAATGCTGAGAAAAAGGATTTAGTTGAGAACTCAAGAACAGCAGTTCAGTCTCTGCCATTGGTGAATTCCATCAATGTCTCAGAGAATGCAACACATTCTGATGACTTGAGGAAAACCTTAAAAACACATCGCCCTGGAGAAATCAGAGAAATGTAAGTGTTCTTGTTATTTAAATAATACAATGCATTGTATTTACTGTGATGTGAGAATGTGATCGATCTGAATTTAGCAGAGAATAATATAATTTTTTTATATTCTGTCAGTTTTTACACACTACAGAAATCACTGCAGCCTTGCCCTTGTAAATTAATTATAATGCAAAATGTACTTAGCCACACAGGAAGACAATTGGTTTCCTTTTCATCTGATCACAAGTGTGATCGGAACGATGTTTGGTCCCCAGCTCTGTCCCCCGCCAACTCCACCACCGACACCTCCAGATTCCTGGAAGTCCTCTTTGGCCATTGGGTGGCCACTAATGCTGCCAAATCAGCTGCTAATGAGCTCTAGAATGTGTTGACTATTTCTATACTGTCCCCTCAACCATTTATTAAATAAAGATGTATCTAGATTGTTGAATGCAGTGTGGGGCTTCAATTCACAATCCTTCAATTTGACACTAAAAACCAAGGAGACAGTGGATTTCCTCTGAAATGTAGAAGCTGTCTGTCTGTCCAGTAGTTAAATCAACTATACCAACTCTTTCACATCATAATTAGCTAGCCACACAAATAGGATAAACCGTGCAGGTCCAACGCTTTCACTACACTTCTTTCCAGTACCTGGATGGTGCAATGAGACACTGATGTAGTTTGACCTTGAAGTTCAGCTTGTGTCTCTTTGGAAGTTTTCCTTGGCTCTCTGTCTACCATTTGTAATCGTTTTGTTCAGTCTGGGGTCAATTTTCCACTTGTGGCCATGTTCAAGGAGGTTGGCTTCACTCCCATGGACTTTAAACTTCTTAATAATATTTGCGGCTGTGGTCATAGGAACATCAAGCTACTTGGAGATGATCCTAAAGACTTTTTCCATTGACATGCTGGTTTATCATTTTCTTTCTAAACTCATCAGGCAACTCTCTCCTTTGTTTTCTCTGTTCCATGTTCAGTGCAGTGCACATAATCATACCAAATAGCAGATTGACTATTTTTGTCTTGAACTATCATTATGATCCAAGTATTTATAATCTGTTCAAAGGGTACCAACAATTCTGCCAGGCTATTTTAAAATATATTTGTACAATAATCAAAAATTGATCTCCTTTTACACTTACTTTGCTTTAACATAAGAAGAATGTATTCTGTATTCCAGGCAAGGCTGATTAACACTGCATGGGAATTCAGTCCAGTAGAAGTTTATTGTCAGCTCATCAAAGTATATTAGGAGCTGACTGGTTATTCTGGCAGGATCAACTGGTTTTCTTTGCACTTATTGAAGGGATATAACAAAACACTTTCAAATGTGTATTCAACTGACCAAAAGAGTTAGAGTTTACAAACACTTTAATACAGAAAAAAATACATTAGACCTAGTCCAGAGTTGCTGTATGTAATCTATAAACCATGGATGTTTTGCTGGAAGGTTTGATTGTTTGAAGCAGAACTAAAATAATTTCTATGCAAACAAACTGAAATTGCAAGTTAAAATGTGCATGCATGCTTGCAAAACTTCTCCAGTATGTCTCCTCAGAGGCTATGCAGGCATATTACAGGACTTGGGATGGTTTCCTATTGGCTATGCAGGCATAGCACAGAACTTTGGATTTTCTGTTGGCTGAACAACTTAGAGGCCAGAAACTTTCAATTCCTACCTCTTAGTAGTCATTATATGCCTATATTTGCTTAAGAGCAGAGACCATCACTGCACAGAATAGTGGGTCTCCTCCCAGTTATGCGTTCTTTCATATCATGTGTTGACAGCTGTTTTGTTTTTTTTCCACAAATGTTTTTATTGTTTTCAAAAAGATAATACAATAAAACAGAAATCATATTGAAACAAGTCAAAAAGCATAGCATACCGAAAACGTCGTGATAAATACATAAAACAGTTTTAACTAGTAATGAACAAACAAGTAGGACCGTTGGCTACAAAGAACATATAGAGGAAATTACTATAAACCGTCAATAGATGAAACCACTAAACCACCAATAGAGTGCACTACTATAATTCAATTACGGCGATGTAAGCCCCATTAGTGAGCAAAAACAGAGACATAAGAGCAAATAATGCCCATTAGGAGCAGTAGATAACATGGAGAGTGAAGTAAAGAAAAGAGGGATTAAATAGATATAAACTATAACAGGGCAGATATGCTCTCTACTTAAATCACAGGGGATTCCATCAAATCTGTGGACCGGGTCAAAGTTCAAGGATGACGGCTGTTTTTTTTAAAACAAGTAACAGTTGGCAGAAAAAAAAGCAGAAGAGAGGGAGTGTTGGGTTGGGATAGAACTGCTCTATTGCATGCCCATTTCCAGCAAAGAATACAATAAATAGTTTCTGCAGAGAACATCCTGTGAGGGAATGGTAACATATTTACCCTTAGATGGTAGTGCCGCTTCATTAACTCCCACTATTGCTGAAGAACAGACTAGGCAAGATGGGTTATGGATAATATGAAATATGGATATTTCAAAAGGTAACACAAATACACAAGTATGTATACATGCACACTTTGTAGCTTGCAATTTCAGAGTGTTTGCACTCTAATACTTTAGTTCTGCTTCAGGAATAACAACATAACTATGTCCAGAATAACAGTGTTTTGTTCAGTACTATTTGGGTTTTCATACTGCTGTTTGAATTCCTTGTTTTTGTATATCCAGCCAAGCAGCCATTCTCATTCAATCCTTATGGAGAGGATATGTGGTAAGAAGAGATATTCATCACTTTACAAAGCTTCATGAGGCTGCCTCCATAATACAGTCAGCATGGAGCCTGTACTGCGGGAGAACAAAAACCTGCAAAAAGAAGCACTGTGCAAAGATGAAGGTATCCGATATCAAACATCAGGCTGCAACTATTATACAGGTAAGTTCTTACCAGTACTTTCAATGGATGGATTCTAGTTAGCAGAAAAAAAGGTGCATGTAGCACTTGGAAATCATCCCCCCAAGATCTCTCCAGTTCCGGTCTGTACAATAAATAGGCAGTTGATGTTTAGAAGGCGGACTCTAGGGCATTTATATTCTCTGCTCTTGTTGCCAGCTGTCTTGCACTACTACTCTTTTACCTTAATTATTTGGCTAGCTTTCACTCTAAAAGTATTGAGCATGATGGCTTTACAAGACATGCCTTGGGTGGGTTGGTGGAGAGAATGAAGGAGACATGGCTGTGAAACACCTAGAACTAAAATAATCAAGCAGGCTGTCTCACTGCTCAGCAAACAGTATGGTTTATCGTCACAGTGGGTAGAACTGTAAATATATTTCCCCCAATGAAATGCACAGACTATAAAGGGTAGCAACAGTGAGGATGGGGCCATGTGACCTTTTGCAACCTAATATTACACATAGGAATATATTACTGACTGTTGAGGCATAATTTACAGATGGTTGCTGCTGTCTCAGGTCATGACATATGTGGCTTTTGCAGAAAATAAACTTAGAGGCAACATCCTTTTTGTAAATTGCAGACTCTAGAGTGGTTCTATTTTTTTGCCCCTTCCTGGTACAATGACAGAAATCTGAAACCTTTTGATAAAGACTTTCACTCTGTTTTCTTCTACCTCTTCTGTATCTAGACCTGCCAGGAAGCGTGGCTTGTAAGGAGAGAGATCTTGGTCTTTCACAACAAATTCAGTATACAGCCGGGAGCTCCCTATGAAAATCACAAAAACATGGCCAAATAAAATGGTGCAATATTCTTAAAATGTGTTGAACTGCTATTCACAAATATATTACCTCTTCGCTAACTTTTTCTACTTCCACGTCTTTTTTTTTGTGTGTTTGCATTACACCACTCTAAAGTATGCCTGCTGACTCAATAACCACATCAAAACTGGTGCAGAATAAAACAGCCCCAACATCACCATTAGGACACCAAGCCATTAACTTCTAACTAGAGTTCAGCAATTCTTTGACCAGCAAGACTTTGCAGTGAAGTCCTTCAAATCCTTATTTGACACAGGCTACTGAACAGCATTATTCTTTTTGTAAAACTGTTTAATTATTTTGTGACTGTTTCTGTTGCTTCTAACAAAATTAGATTAGTTTGGAAAGAACTACATATTAAACTGTATCTCTGCTTTGAGAACAAACACTCATTCTTTGTTAGCTCAGTAATATGTATACATTTCATCATTGGTAAAAAGGAAAAAAGTGTATATACAGTAGAGCAGTACGATTTTTTTGTTTAACCTTTCTGGGCCCATAATCCAGATTTTGAATTTATTTCCCATCAGTTGTCTGTTTTTCATTGAGTTTCCAGAGTTGAAAGTCTGTTGATTTCCTAGTAAGAGAGAGGAAATATGTGCTAGTATATATTCCATACGGGAAGGTTTATTTGGATTGATAATACATTCCAACATATCTCATTCAATCTGGTGAAAATGCCCTTTTCTCAAACATTCAACATACCCCATTGCTGTGGTTACCTGGGGGATCTAAAGAGGAACTCCAAAAAAAGATAAATATATAGTTAAAACTGTTTACCTTCGAACAAAATTGTAGTTCTACTCAAAACATTTGGTGAAATGCACAGTCCATTCACACTGCATAGCCAGGAAGTTCTCTCCACTGTAAAGTCAACGTTACAGCTTTCTGGGTCACCTCCCTGCCAATTGGACAGAGTTGCTGATGTTAATTAATTGTCCAATTAATAGGCTAGGGATAGACAGGTGATGCAAGAAACTAAAGAGCTAAATGATAAAAAAAAGTGTGTAATTTGCCTGGCTGGCTAGTGTTATAGGAGTGCATAAATAATAGGACTAGTTGAACATAATACTTTGGTGGGTAAAACAGTTCACATACATGTATTATTAAAACTGAGTGTATATCAACAGGGTGTTTAGCTGTTAACACAGACTCCTGCTTTATTTGAATAACAAATAGGAGACAAGTAAAAAAAAAATGATGGCACCAGTGAGTGCAGTCACAGAACCGCCCCCTGAGGGGACATTACCAAAGCACCCTACACTTACATGCAATGACATAGAGAGCATCAGCACTGCTCTCTGCTTCACCGAGGACCTCCCAGAGATGGAGAAAAGATGAAAAGAAAAAGGGTCCCTGTGTCACCTGACTGGCTGGAAGACATGTGGAAAAAGTATACATATATATCTAGGGATGGACCGATACCAGTACTAGTGCAGATACTGGGCATTTTCACGAGTACTTGTACTTGTTAAAATGCCCCAATACTAAGCGCTGATACTGGCACTTTAAATTTGTAAACATGAGCGGCTGCCTGATCTCCCACGCTTTCTGGGACCTCTTGGCGGCTGTCTTTTTACAGCGCCAGTCTGGGCACACATTTCCTCTTCCTCCTTCCCGCCGCCAACACCCGTCCGAGAAGCCATGAGGAGACCCTGGAACAGCCCCAGTAAGACCCGCACCCGCTCAAGCAGCCATAGGGAGACCCAGAACAGCCCTGGCAAGACCCGCACCCGCCCGCACAGCCAAGCGGAGACTTGCACGCAGCCCTGGTAACACTGCACAGCCCTTGTGAGACCCATACGCAGCCCTGATGACACTGTACAGCCATGATGAGACACAAATGCAACCCTGGGGAGACCCGCACGCAGCCCTGGGGAGACCCGCACGCAGCCCTGGTGAGACCTATACACAGCCATGGTGAGACCGCACAGCCCTGGTGAGAACTGCATGCAGCCATGGTGATAACCACACACAGCCCTTGTGATACCCACACACAGCCCTGGTGAGACCCATACCCAGCTCTAGTGATACTGTGCAGCCCTGGGGAGACCCACACAAGCAGCCCTGGGAAGACCCCACACAGCCCTAGCCAGGTTCTGCACAGCCTCCTGAGACACTGCACAGCCTTGGTGAGCAACACAGAGTATGTAGCTTCATATTATTCTGTATTGCTGTATAATGGATTGCTGGGATTTGTAGTTCTCTATAGCTGATGGTATTCTGCATTGCTGTATATTGTTACTAGGATTTATAGTTCTCTATAGCTGGTGGTATTCTGCAGCGCTGTATAATGTATTGCTGGGATTTGTAGTCCCTCTACAGCTTGCCATAAGTGGCAGAGCTACCAGGGTCGCATTGGTTGCAGCTGGGACTGGGCTTTGGCGCTGCACTACTGTCCTAAAATCATTAGTCTGTATTGTTTTAGGAAAACTGTCACATGACGTAATTGGTATTGGCAAGTACTTGAGGAATACGTATCGGTACTTCTACTTGGTCTTAAAAAAATGGTGTCGTGCATCCCTATATATACTGTATCTATAAATCCAAAGTAGGTATAGAGGAACTCACGTGCCTTGCAGCTGGGGTAAGTCAAAGCATCAGCATTTTATTGTAAACATTTCGATGGAGCTCAGTCTTTTCCATGATAAAAATGAGCTGAGTTCCCTTGAAACTTTGACAATAATGCTTTGATGCTTTGACTTACCTCTGCTGCAAAGCCTGTGGGTGCCTCTATACCTACTTTGGATTTGTATGCATATTTTTGTGGATGAGCACCCGGGCATTCACCTTACAAATCGAGTGTGGTGGCTACCCCTAAGACTATATATAGTATGTATATACTGTTTATACATACAGGCTGGAGAGCCTGTAATTGGACTTTAAACATTATTAATCTAACCCCAGTCTTCTGCATTGTTATTGTTAAGAGACAACACAAACATCAAATCTTACCCCATATAACTACAGGAATAAATTCCATTTTTAGACATTTCAAAATATTGAATATTTACTGCAACCTAAATTAAATTATTATAAAGTTATATAAAAATATAAAATTATATTTAGTAAATTGTGAAAATAATATGTTGTATTATAATACATACAATATTTAATTATTCGAAACTATATAAAGTTTAAGCAAATCCTCAAAGGTATAAGAGGGAAAGATCATGGCCACCATTAGAAAGTTAAGCACCCAGTAAAACCTACCTGACAGGACCTCCTGCCTCTTAGCTTTGCAGAGGGAAAGAATGAGGCAGTGCACCTTGGCGAAATGTGGTTTTGGCAAAACAGTGGGAGGGACTTAAAATTTGAGGCTACTTGCAGAGGTCTATACTGTGCAGAGTAGAGGTGTCAGGAGTATGTAATGTATAGAGTGCAGAGATCAGGCCAGTATTGGGCAACACTAAGTGTGCAGGGGTCAGGTGTATGTAATGTAATGCAGAGGACATGTGTGTGTAATAAACGGAGTGCAGGGGGTCAGGAGTGGGCAATGCACAGAGTGCAAGGATCATGTTTACATGTAATGTGCATACTACAGGGGTCCGGAGTATGTAATGTACAGTGTGTAGGGGTCAGCAGTGAGTAATGCACAGATGTCAGGTGTGTGGAATGTAGATGGTGCATTCCCTGACAATGACTGATCCCAGGTATGTGTGAGCTGTATGGTGCCCATGGAGTGTTGGAGCCACAAAGTAAATCCCACTAATCACACTCTGGCTGCCAGGCTCCATTTGCCCATCCATCCTCTGCCACACATCTCATCACAGCTTCTCCTGGTTACTGTGCCATGCTCCCAGCCTTGTTTGGGGTAATGGCATAGGTGTGGGCCGCAAACGAGAGTTCAGGGTGTCACTTTTAGATTGACTAGCTTGGAACAGTGTGGTGGCAGGACTACAGTGTGATTGGACTGGGTGTAGGGAGGCATAGGCAACCCCAGCCAGGCTGGGCACCCACTGTTAAATCACTGGGGTCTGGGCCCAGTATGGGAGGACTACCTGTACCCCTCTATCAGTGTCACAGGGAAAGATAGATAGATGGATATTAATTCAAGCATGCAAGTTACATGTAACATTATTATTCTTATTTCCTATTATATGCCTTCTAGTTTTCAAACAAATAGCTCATTTACTGCCAGTCTGGCACGTTTCCGTCTTCACAGTATTTCTTTTTCAAATTATAAGAAGGATGCATACAATAAAGCTTAAGCTAAGAATAGCTTTACTCTGCCTATAGCCCCTTTCTATAAATAACCAGACACTCAAAGACTGCATTTTTTACACAAGAGGTTGTTTGAGTCTCACTAATTTGGAAGCTAAAGGTTGCAAGTACACTCTTTGCTTTCTCTTTGTATCTTCTTTTCCCTGAGGCTCTTAAACACCCTAAAGGAATTGTCAAATTATTAATTTGTTGACCCTGGCTGCATGCAACAAGGGGAGTTGAAGAATTCCTTTCTGCTTACTTGAAGAGACCCTCCTGGGTATTCCAGGCTTTAGACACATGCAGGCATTTAATTTGTCATGTAGTTTTAGATGTCACATAAAGTTCAAAAACAGATCATTGAGCTAGTAAACGAAGCTCAGAGATGTTTTATCTTCCTAATGGGATAACGGAGTGAATCTGTATTTTGGGTGTATCTATGCTTCTTTTGTGACATCCTTTGCATTTTTTGTGCAGGCAGCTTGGAGAGGATTCTTCCTTAGAAAAAAATTGGCTGCTGCTCTTGCTGCTATTGAAAGAGATGAGCTAGATGATTTCTATGAAGAAGTGAATTTGAATCATTTCATGTTCGATGAAGTAAGAAGAATTATTTCATGTGAAACACGGTGTAACAAAATTGTCTGCTCTAAATATTCACCTCGAATTTTTATGCTGGATTTTAAAATGTGGTATAATGTATAACTGTTTATCAGTCTTTGTGCTTAGGAAATTCACAGGCTCAGCGGCACAGCGGGGTCAACATAATTCTGGTTCAAAGCATGTGTATCATTTCCTGGGTAGTATGGACAGTGAATTGTAAATATCACATACTAACGAACTCCTCCATATTAGTAATTGTTTTTACTAATTAACCACATTTTGAAGAAAAATTAAGGTTATCTAGAACTGATAGTTTTATGACCTACCTATCTTTTGTAGCTATAATGGAAAGGGTGCATTTTTTTTTTGTAGCGTAGCTTATATATTTAAGGCAATTGATGATGGCGACTTTAAAACCTCCAAAATGGGCTGAAGCTGTGCCAGGAAGTATGCCAAGGAGCTTTTACTTTACCTGATCTCCCAGGGAGTAAATTAGGCCTCCAAACATCTTCTGTGGCTAAAATATCATGCTGGTGTACTGATGCTGAACCTATTCCAGTGCAGCCTAATATTACTTTTGGGCTTCATACACTTCTGTTTTAATCCATTGATCTACATTTAAACTCTGAGCTTTAGGGACAGCCTGGAGGTGTATTGAGTTTAGCAGAGACTCTTCCATATTGTTTCGGGTCATGTGATTGTTGCAGAAGGCAAATTGCAATTTTCCATGGAGATGCCTAGTTTGCACTTTTATCTTATGATTCCCCAAAGAGTCCTCAAGGGGCACCAATAAGGATGATTTTCATATTGCTTCTGCCTGTTAGTGAAGCTTTTGCAGTGATAGCCAATAGAGATATATTAAGCAGAACCTACCATTCTTGGCAGTTCTTTAGTCAGGTTCTTTATGAAAACAGTCAAATTTAAAAGAAAAGCATACAATCAAAAAAGGTTTCAGATACAGAAAAACATACAAAAAAGTTTATAATTGTTTCTAGTCCTAACATATAATGAACATTTATCATAAAGAACACAGATCAAGCATAGTTATACTATGGAAAATAAGGAATTTAGTCACTTCATCATGTTCACAGAGTCGGAGGCAAATGATAGGAAATTAATTTCCCTACTTTGATCTTATTTTGACTGTTATTTTGTATGAAAAACAAAATAAGGTATTTATTTTACTGTTCGTTAAAAGAAACACATGTCTGTCTCTTAAAGGTAATATGAGATCTTTGATACACAAAGCATTATGCTGGTCACAATAAGTGTTATTTAGCACCAACTTAAATATGGACCCCTTTGTTTATTTCAGGTATTGGTTTGGTATAAATGATATGTGAGAGGTGATATTCAGTTCATTAGCTCCTTAGTTTACTACATACAATGAGATAATGTATATACCTTTCTGTTTACTCATAGAATAAAGTGAAAAGGGTAATTTATGAATTTTGTTGAACTTTTTAAAACTTGTTTCATGAGATTAATCTGCTCAACAATCGGTTTTACGTGTTAGGATTTGACAGTATCTGAGATGCTTAAAACTTTAGGATTCAATTTAAAACTCACCAGTGTAATTTAGCTCAGAAATGTTGCTACAAATGTGAACAGCTTGTCTGTTCAATTAGTGCATGTCAGTTTGACACGTGTGGAGGGTTCACAGATTATTTATCTTGATCTTTTCTCACGTAGCATCTGTTAAATATATATTTTAGAGAGAATACTGTTTACCCTCCCCCACACTCTGTCACTGTGTATGAATTATTATATAATAGAGGTCACATTGGAATTCTGCAACCCCTAAAACAAGAACACAACTGTCCATTGTGTATTACTAGCAGAATGAGTAATGTCAAACTAGCAAATTTGCTTCTCAACAACCGGTTAGAGAAAATGACCATGTATTTGTGCTATAATGGATATACTGTGTATATAACTATATATTTGTTGTTGGACCTAATTAATACTTTTGTGATCCACATACTGCTTTGTGTGCATGTGCATTTTGATAATCATACTTTTTTTTGTATGGGGGGTTTTACTTCTGTGCTATGTAGGCTTTTTAAGTGCATGAAGATGTCCATATATGTAAATGTGCAGCATTTGCTAGAATAATACCTGGTGATCCTGTCATGAAGGTCCTTGTTCGGGTACTTCCTGCTTATAGGGTGACATCACTATGTCCTTGTCTTCTAATTATGCCCCTGCACAATCACCCTGTCCCATGGCCTTCCAATGGAGACTAAAAATTGCTGCTGAAACACACATTTTGTAGACATGGACTATTGCTGTCACTACCAGAAACCTGCCCTGAGAAATGCCATGCAGCCATCTTTGAAGTGCATGTAGACCGGAAGTGACCCAAAATGGCTGGAGATCAGCATCACCGAGGTGTAACAAAGCAGAAAAAAGGGTGAAATAATTATTTTTTTCAAATGGATATTATTTATAATCAGGCCCGGATTTCCCACAAGGCCACCGAGGCCCTGCCTCGGGGCGGCAGAGCGCAGAGGGGCGGCAGCCGTGACCTTGTGGGGAAGTTGCGGGCGCCGGTGTAAGGTGTCCGGCGGCCGCACACTAAGGTCCGCCACCGTCCAATCACGACGGGGTGGCCCGAGGCTTCCCCCCCCCCCCGCCCTGCCATCTGGTTGCCATTCTCAATTGATGGGGAGGGGCGTATTGTGGAACCTGGCCTTGGGGCGGCAGGGGGAGTAAATCCGGCCCTGTTTATAATACACAATACTTTAACAAAGTAAATATAAATGAGTTAGGGTTTACATCTACCTTTAAAGATATGAAAGCTGCAGTAGTAGGCATACTGTATATTCTACTGTCATGCTACCGCTCTAACATCAATATTTTGTATGACCTGGAACAGGTGTACAGATAAGGGCTTATAGTTTTTTTACTTTCCTGATCTGCTTAATAATTTCTGTGCAGTGGCCCAGAAACAATTGGAACACATGGATAAGCATAACAGCCAGTCAACTAGTATTTTTTAGTCAGGAAAGGTATTCCCCATATTTTTCTCAGGTTTACTAAAGGACTAAATTTTTCCCTGAATATGAGCTAGCACCAAAAACAACAGGCAGCAGGTATTGTGACATACTGTCAACTTTCTTGTCAAAATACATTTTCTCCATTTATATAGTAACCCTCAATGTCATATGTATATAGTGCAACAAAGTTCCTATGCAAAATTAATTTTTAACATTTTTAAGTAGAAACATTTCTGCTTGGCTACATGCTTAGTTTGACACAGACATTTCTGCTGAAATATTATCTATTCTCATTCTTTACATTGTTTCTTTGCCTTTTAGAATGTCATGGAAAACGACTGGTCATTAGATTCCACTGCCTCTCATCATGAAACTATACATCTCTCCAGTAAAGCAGAACAAGCAAAGGTAACATGTCACTGTGATGATTCAGTCCACTAAAGCTTTCTTTACCAGAATGATTAATGTAGTGCTTTACTGGCCGATTTAGGATGCCACATACTTACTTCGCATCCCCAGATGCTATTTGTCTTTTTTTATTTAACTGTCTTTATTTTGGATATATTTCAATACTGTATCACAGTAGCTCTGCATTAAGAAAAAAAGATACAAAAATAATATTTCTGATATGTACCAGCTGCATTTCTGGCAGACAATAAAAAATGATTAGCTGACGTAGTACTTACAAAGACAAAAAAATCTCTCATATCAACAGCTGAGTATTATCAGAACCACATCAAGTTTCTTGCTTATGATAATTATATTTTGGCATTCATTACCAGGCTGGATTCTCCTTTTCTGGAAAAAAAATTGTTCTTTTTGTATAAAACAAAGAAAGACTTTGAAGCCCACCTGTGGACTTTGTGCCCCCGCCCCCCTTCATGGCTGTATTTTATATTATAATACTCACCTTTTCTGATGTCTTTAGCCCAGTCACATGACCTGACTGGGTCACCTTCCTTTTCACCTCTTCTCTCGGCTTGGCTCAGTGATGTAGAGAGCAGTGGGACACTGACGTGATGTTGTAAGTGCCGCTCCTTGCAATAGAGTCATGGTGCCAGTCCCTTGAGATTGATGAATGGCTAGGCCTCTGCCCATTCTTAATTGCATCTCTGCCCTGCTAGGACCCACTGGATGTAGTTCCCAATTAGTGGATGTAATTCACCTGTGATGACAGTTTTGTTTAATTGTCTCCTTAAAAAAAGGGAATGATTAGTGTCTCCTTTCAGATATTTTTCCAAGAAGTTGTGCAGTAATGGATGCTTGAAGTGTTTACAACTACTTAATTTTGGTGTAATGATGAGGATGAGCTCTCCTCATCATTACACTTTGTGTACAGGGCACCATGTTGTTGCCCCCTCAGGGAACATTCACAAGATGTCCTCGTCTTTGTAGCCTAATGACGCTGAGTGTCATTTACCAAGGAAGACATGGGACATTTAGTGGTGACCAGAGTTTACTGCAGTGGACAGTTCCAGAGAGTAGAGGAGTATTGCAGGCAGAGCTGTTTTAGTTTTTTTAGTTGGTGCTAAAAAGCATAATAATATACTGTATGCCAAACCTAGTAAATATTCCTGTGAATGTATTTTTTAGTTCTTTATATTGTGTGCTCACTCATATTTCCTGCTGCCCAGAAAAGTGGCATTCCAGAAAACAGGGCTCATCCATTGCCATGGATCCCACAAGAAGCCTGGGCAGTTTCTGAAGCATCATCATTGCACAGCCAAGTAAGGGAAAACCGTAATAGCAGGTAAGACAATTATTTTTACTCAGTTAAATGTCTCAATTGACTTTCAAAAGAGCACAATGATGCTGCAGTATTTTCAAAAATAGTTCTATAAATCCATTATTATAGTGTAATCCCTCCAAAGATATGTGCTAATAGTTTAAGAGTTTTAAGCTTTTGTAAGTCTCTCTCAAATTCTTAAATGGAGATCAGATATCTAGATCCATTAATGGAAATGTAACATGTAAGATAGTTTCTGTCTTATATTATATTCCATTGCCACTGATGTTTATTTATTGCTATGCACATATGCTTTTGTTTTGCAAATTAGTTTTGTTCATGAGAGTTGCACAATATACACGAGTGAAGCCAAGCTTAACAAATGCTCCAGTGTAAATAGGGGTTTCTAAGCTTTATTTGGCAGTTTAGAAAGTAGGCATATGAAAAGTTATTTAACAATTATTAACAATTATGTATGGCTGGAAAGATAGAGGGACAAGACATGGACAATATGTTCTTTTTGGTAGATGTTTTATTTTGCGCAAAGTACATCTTCAAATCTTTAAACCCAGATCCAACTGTAATTGAGGGGTCAAATCTCATTCATATATGTGAAATAGACAAGTAATTTCCTGTGGAATAGACTTACCTGTACATATATGTGGAATTCTGTAGTGCAAATACATTTCAGGAACTTTTGGGAACAGGGCTTCATATTGGACTTCATATTACAAAGAAACTACTTACCAAATGGCATTGCCATATAAAAAGTACTACTGATCATTGAGCTAAAGCAACCAATCAGTGTTAATTTTCAATCAACTCAGAAAATAACTTTGACAGCTGTATACAACCCCTCTTTGTTATTAAGTAAGCTTATATGTGTTCTTTTTTTCTTATTACACTCTTGTGACCTGTCTCATATATGTATACATGTATGCATGTTTCTTTAAGATTTTAGAGTACATGATGTTTCTGTTTTCTTAATGCTTTTGGCCTACTGTTCAGATTTAAAAGCTTCCATGTGACAATACAAGCGATGTGGCATTAAGCAATCTTTGCTGCATAAGTGTACCATCTCTGTCTTTTACATACTTACTGATATGCAGTAATGCCTTGTATTAGTTAAAATAAGTAGGCCTCCCAGTTTGTATCTGCATTTGGTGGAAGAACATGTCTTTATATATCTTGATATAGATATGGATGTTATTCTGTGCAGGTCGGGATTTGTGTGCTGATGGTCATTTTTGAATACTTCTTTAAGTAATTGAAATGTAAACATGTCAAAATGCTAGCAGAGATTTAGAACCTTTCACGATAGAGCTTTCTACCACTATTTAAACTAGATTTTATTTCAGATTTTGGAATGTATAAACAGTTAGCTGAAACAGCTTTAGACTACAAAGCTTTGTGCATTTCTTTTTTAACTGATTTGGCCTATGATTTCATCTGATGTCAGGTTGGAGAAACAAAATTTGTCACATGTGTCTAGCATGAAGTCCAATATTGACATTTCCTTCAAGTCGGAGAAAGAGGAAAAAATTTCCCAGGAATGGTACGCAAAAGACTTCCTTTTACTCTATCTTGATGTGTCATCGAGTAATCAAAATGTGAGCCCAACATGTATATGTAAGTAAATATGCTTTCCTGTAGGGGATTTAAAGATGCAGCTACAGTGCAACTGATGTTGAAAAGAGCCCAGAAGATGAAGTCAAAGCAAGCAAAACACAAACGAATGTTGGGTAAGTGACTGGGAATTGTAAATCTTTGCAACAGATATGTTTTCTAATTACTGTTGAAAGGGCTGAGGTGGTGACTATGATTACCTAAATATAATGAATAAACTGAGAATATTTATAATGTTATGCAACACAGAAAAATAATTGCATGGTGTTAAGAACAAAATTAAATAACATGCAATGATATGCAGTTGTGGAAATGTAAATAAAAGTTGTATGGTTTTCTGTTTCAAGCCAACTAAAGCTATCCACAGGCTTCAGTTGACATTGGTACTTGTGGGCACACTCCAGAGACCAACTGCTGTCTTAGGTTGGTTAAAAAATTGGCAGCTGCCAATTCCTATGAGAATTACTTTGTCCTCTGTTATATTTTTGTTAGTCAGTTATAATAGGGCTAAATCCTAAATTGATTACTAGACAGTGGATCACCCTAGACCAGGGTTTTTTTAAACTTCTCTTAACCATTTCTTTACGATTTAGTAAAGCTAAGAGAAATACATTATTTCTTACATTTTGTTTTTTTTACATTTTCTACTAGCACTGAGGTCTCTCCACCTCACAACCTTTCCTATATATTTCCTTTCTCCCCTCCTGCCATGCAACCTAGTAACCCATATACCTCTCTACTGTCAATCATATGAGTTTGTTTCATGGGTTGACGGTGGTGGCATTGTAGGTGGTAATACTTATTACATTTCCATCCCATAGAAAAGAATGATGTCTGTGATACATTAACTGCATTGCTTAAAGGCTAAGGGGTTGATTTACTAACCTTATAAACACGCCACGAACAAGTATACACCTCTGTAGTGTGTTCCCTCCCAGCATGATCTATTGGTGGAATCTAGACACCTTTGTAGTGTGTACACACCCAGCAGGTGTGTTGTGCAAAGCCCTGCATGAATTGCAAGGTGATATTGTGTAAATTAGCTCTACATTGTGTTGCTTGCGTTGACGAATGCAGGAATGTAAATGCATGAGCTAATCATTTTTGTCTAAACTGTGAAGCAGCATTATATATGCATCATGTGCATGATTTTTCCATATATGGCATTAGTGGAAATATGCTTTTAGAGACTTTTTGGTTGATAAATACGTTTTGCTGTGTAAAAATCACACGCACCTAGTGCGTGCGTGTGTTTTAGGTTAGTAAATCACCCCCTAAGTCTCAGATTGTGGTAGTTTATGATTTAATACATAGATAAATATATTGTGCTATATTACTTGTCACTGATTTTATGCTTGGATTTACTAGGCTATGTTTACTATACAGTCATTGGCAACCCATCACAAACACTTTTGTGGCCCAGTTTGGGTCCTGAATCATAGTTTAAAAATCACTGCCCTAGAGTAGAAAAATATCACTAGCATAATTTTTAATATATATGATACTATTAATATGAATCGTTTATGTATTTATACTATTAAAAACTATTTTACATAAACCACTGTGTCATTTTCGTTTATTCGCCCTTTATAGTAATTGTTTACCTAAGACTTAATTGGTAAACAAAGGCCAACTCCAAGTTTGTGAATGGAATTCACCACATAAACTTCAAGTGACATGTTCTTCCAAAAAACATTATAGCTTTTCAAAGCACAGCATTACTGCACTATGTTATTTTACCACCAAACCATATCAAACATGCCTTTTCTATTAGGATTTATCCCCTCCGTGTTTTCAAAGATTCAGGGTACAGTACAATCTTAGGAATACTGCACATTTAATCCCTAGCTAACGCCACATAAAAGGATTTGGAGCCTTCCTGGAGGTCATGACATGCACATTACTTCCAGTTTCTTTGTGATCCTTCTTTTTTGTAATTGAATATAAAAAGTGTCTTTATGTTGTGTGTCATCATAAGTTTTCTTCAGTCACTAATATCTTTTTTGTTTGATCTGAAATATATGTAATTTGTTAATTTTTTTAAAGAAGCTAATTACTATATTATTTCTGAAAAAAAAATAGATAAATGTTAACAATTTATGTACAGATCTACTTATCAGTAATGTTTTAAAGTTGTCTTTTGCCCATAGTAACCTGATCAATTGATTACTTGAATAATAATCGGTAAATACAGAAACATGAGGACAATTAAAGATTTTGTTCATGTATAGGGTAATATTTGGATAAGATGTGCAATAAATCATTTGATTGGATGATTTTCAGTGATAAACTTTCGGGTCTATTCACAAAACTGCCGAAGGCAGCTGTGTGAATAACCGACCCGAAAGGGAAGTGAGCCGAACGCTGTTCGGCTATTCACTTCATGCTGGTACGGCTGATTCCAGCCGTATATATCGGCTGAAATCAGCTGTACATCGGCTTGCTGCGACTGGCTTTGGGTCGGTCAAACATGCTCGGCCGACCCAAAGTGCAGAAGGAGTTTGCCTCAGCCGATCCAACATTTGGATCGGCTGAGCCGAACCTCCGGCAGGCTACTCGCTGCTGTTCTGCCTATTCTCATAGGGGCCGAACAGCAGTGAGTGAATAGCCGAATGCCACCGAGTGGTGGCAACTCTGTGGTCCCGAGCAGAATAGAAAAACAGTTTAAAAAAGTAGAAAAACAAAAAGTAGAAAACGCTTAGCAGTGCCGGAGGTCATATGAAAGCCGACTCTGCTGAGTTCTCATGGTACTGACAGATCAGCGTCCCCTGGTTACCTAGTAACCAGGTAACCAGGGGACGCTGAACTGTCAGTACCATTGCAATAGCTAGTTTGCTATTGCAAAGTGAAATAGCCGATAGGAATGTAGGTATGCATTCCTATGCTGTTTTTTTTTTTCTGACTGATGGCGGACGGCGCCTCCGATGTCAGAAGAAAAAAAATAAAAGAGCAGAGCAAGGAAGCTAGGGCTAGATCCTTTGCCAGCTTTGTGAATAGACCCCATAGTCTACAGAATGGAAACAAAGTGAGCTCCCATTGTGTCATGGAAGCCAAGATTTTTTTTCTTATTCAGACCTAGTCAACTATGAAATGTTGTTAAGGTATAGGAGTGACCACACACACAGAAGTGAAGATTCAGAATCCTCCAGATGGTTGTGGCCTAAAAAGTACTTTCTTGTTTTGTGGAAAGGGTTGTTATACAATTATAAGAGGGCGGTGTTGGAACTGTAGACACAAACAGTTCTTCTTTAACAGGTTATTGTACATAGACAATTGAAATTGATTATGTTATTGGACAGTGTGGGTTGCTGCTCATCATTGCTTCATACAATATTATTAAATAAAGCTTAGTCTGTATATCTATAATCCTAGGCAGGGTACTGATAATTTCCTAATGTCTTGTCATTTTTATGTACTCTTCTCCTTTATTTTCTGAATGTTGCTATCTGGATATGTCCTATAATTTACGTAAGAACTTTGCCCCAATTTGTAGCCACCAAGTTTTTTAACCTAGAGGTAAATATAGTAAAGCGGAAAATAGGCATAAAATGTGATTATATTCGCTTTTGGTCTGTCAAGATGTATTTAATAATTTAAAAGACAGATGGTATGCATCAAGACTTTGCTAGAGTTTTCAGATTACCTCACTTGAGCTCCATATTTCCGTCACCTTTTTCAGGTTGGAATTGCAGCTTTAGTAGCATGACAGTTCTCTTCTTTAAAATAGCAATGACAGTGCCACCTATAACACAATCTAATGTCAACAGCACTTGCAATATTTTTCTCATTTTTGTCTTAATATTTATGCTATCTTTTAATTATTCAAATAGCAGATTGGTTGAAGGAAAACTGTTGAAACTGCTCTAACCATTTGGTGACTACTTCGCCAAACTTTCCGCACCTAGGCTTTACCATGGCTTGTGTCCATCTACAGTGTTTCATGTATAGATTGTATGACAACATATTTGGAATTTAATCTTTCCTAAAGGCTGGTAATATCAGCAAAATATCAACATACCAACAAAGCAATATAGAACATGTCAACATAATGCAAGGAAAATGCTCAACCACACAGTTTAGTAACTAAAATCATCTGTGAATAGCTATTTAAAATAAATTAAAAAAAAACTAAAATTACAAATGCAAGGGTTTCCCCTCGCTTTCTTTAATTTTTGCAGGTGTCAGGCGGAACAGGAAGTAATGAAAATATCTCCAATGAGGTAGCAAAACTATTTTTGTAGCAGACTGGGGATGGGTTAAAACTAGGGATGCAACAATATAGTTTTTTGGTATCGAGTGCGAGGACCGATATTTTTTCCGGCACTCGCCGATACCGAATACCAATACCGGCATCCCGGGGAACCATTGGCCCAGCTTATCAGGAAGCCAGTGTTCTATCAAAAGAACACCGGCTTCACTTTCCAAGGCAGCCTGGCTTCCTGATCAATCAGGAAGCCGGGCGGCACGTCATGACCCGCCTCCCGGGTTACTGATTGGCTAGGAAGCCGGCTTCACTTGTTGCTAGGCAGCCTGGCTTCCTGACCAATCAAAGCCGGGCGGTGGGCCATGATGTGCCTCCCAGCTTCCTGGTTGGTCAGGAAGCCAGGCTGCCAAGCAACAAATTAGGTCGGCTTCCTAGCCAATCAGGGAGCGGGTCATGACATGCCGCCCGGCTTTCTGATTGGTCAGGAACCAGGCTGGCTAGCAACAAGCGAATCTGCCTTCCTAGCCAATCAGGAATCTCCCTCTGACTGTAGGTTATCGTATCGGGATAAGTCTCGGAGCATTTGGGTGAGTGTGAGTACTCGCCCAAATACTCGGTATTGCAACTGGTTCTGATACCAGTATCGGTGCATCCCTAGTTATACCTCAACAAAACAATTGTTTGTTTTTTGGATTTTTTTTTGCTGCCTGTGTTTTTATGCATTTGATTTTCTGCCAATAGAAAGTGAGGGGAAATCTCAGTGGGCACACAAACAGCATTTAAAGCAGACCATCGTTCCTTGAAAAGAACTGAAAGCCAGACCACCTTGTGAATGAAGAAGCTTTACACATCTCTTCAACAGCAGTGCATAGAAACTTGAAGAGCTCTACCTGGTTTGTCAGATAGCGTGACCCCACTAGATACTTGCCAAGGTTGACTTCAATGCCTTGGTAGGGATTCAGGAATTAACAAGTCTGCTTTCACACATGATTTACACAGCCTCCATCTAGGATTCATACATGTTTCCAATCAGAATGTGTGACTGGTGTAAAAACATTTTTGCTGTCCCATTCCAGTTTCTAGCCTTGAACAACTTCAGAGTCCACTTTATCACAATGATTTATGGCAGTAGACACTGGATGTCTTTGCAAATAATAAGAAAAAAGGCTTGAAAAGTAAAACATACATATTTTGCTATAATGTTTACAATAAGCAACTAGTTTTTGTACTGCCCGCTAAATCCTATTAGAAGCTCTCTGGGTGACTGAAGGGCTCAGACTACATATAATATTCATTGAAGGTATAAGAATAACTTTATTTTTTGTATTATTATTGTTAATTATCTTGATGCATGAGTATTTTCAGTATTCAGTAAATTATTAAAAGCTTCAAGCTTTGGACATTTCCACCCCTCATTAGTCCACTAACACATCCACTGTCTTACAAATCTAGCCATGCAAAAGGTAGGTGCGAGACACTTCAACCAAATCAGTAAAATCAGTGTTAAAGCCTCTTGACATTAACTCCCTGCAAAAATGGGTGCCTTTCTGCTGAGAGGACCTTGCTGCTGGAGAAATCCAGTTAGGTCAAATAAGAGAAGCAAATCAGGTAATAGGAGTCCAGAGTCTTTTAAAGCCAGCTAAACGTGCTAAAAATACTATTACTTGGTCTTAAAAGGTTACATGGAACCTAGAACCACATGCATAACATTGAATATTAAAAGATAACTCAAGCAATGCATTGCTCAGTGAGGTGATGTAAAGTTCTGCTGACATCCATCATCCAATCATATACAAGAAAAAAATACTGTTTTTTTGTTTTTATTTTCTTTGCATGTGGGTATTTTTTGCAAAGTGAATTTTCACCACGTTTACAAGTTCCTTGCAAGGTTAACATTCCCTTGCAAAGTGAGCAGTCTTTTTGCCTTTAGTAAATCAACCGCATTGTGTGGAATATGTTCAGTGTTATTTTTTTATATTGTCTTAAGGACTTGAAAAGAAAATACACATGACTTACATACAAACTTAAATCCTCATAAAAATATTATTACACCAGTGTTAAAGGATTTGGGTAGCTTATTAGTAGTTTTATGTAATCTACTTTCAGGCTTTTTTGATAACTAAATGTTTTCACATTCTTCAGAATGTAGCCTTTCATGAAACGTTCTGGATGTTAGTCAGGAGGCAGTTCAAGTAGAGCATCTCCCCTTACTATGTATTTAGACCCTCAAAAACACCTCTTCAGTTGCAATGTTGTCTTTCATACAGTAGCAATAAATGAATATGGGTGAGGAACGCACAGATAAAAACCTATAGATTTAAAGTCATGGTTTTGACACTTGTGTTTTTAACAGCTTTTTAAAGGTTGGAATTCCTATATTATATTGATAGCTTAAGGACGGCTTTAGTTATATACAGCAATAGTGTTCCTAAGCGGAAGGGAAAACATAATGATAGTACCAAATACAAGGTACTAATAAATCTGGAATACTTATTGTGGCTAAAGTCATGTTCAAATTTCAGTGGTTTCCAAATGGAGCCTTCAAAAAAGAAGCCTTTCCCAAACAAATGAGAAGCATCGCGGCACAGACATGCTTTGAAGTTGAAACTGTATTAAAAAAATTGGTTCAAGCTTTAAAAAGCATGACAGTTTAAATTTTCAGAATTTTTCATCTACTTAGTTGATTCTTGATTAGAGAACTTCAGTTACATAATTCTATAGAGTCTACTTTTCAACTACATATTGTATGCATTGATGTAGAAGCAATATTATGTTTGTAGAACTTTAAAAAAAAGTCTGTGCACTATGTCTGAAATACGCATGCCTATTTATACTGGGTAAGCTAAAACAAATGATTATTTTTATATTTTTTGTTATATACTTTATTTTTGCCTGCTTTACACTTTTATGTGCATTGCATATTCAATACAGTATGTAAAAATCTTTTTAAAAATCATATTTGGTTTGTGTGGATTATGATTTTATTTTTAATATAGTTTTTTTATTGTTAAGATTATAATTTATTTCTTGCAAGGACATTTTTCATGCCCTCCAAGTTCCATCAAGAGTAACTTAACCTTTACAACAGTAAAACATATCATGCCCTTTTAATTTCAACATGTACTTTTTCATCTAGACCCAGCTGTGCGCCTGGCGTTGTTCAAAAATAATGAAAATAAACGTCCTCCTGTAAAGCCACCAAAGACGACACAAATAACAAAGACCGAATATTTTAGGGGTAAGTACCTAAAAAAGGTTGTTTTTTTTAAATGTATATATTGTTATCTATTATAATTGTTATTTTATTGAGGTGTATTGTTATTTTTTCTACTCACCTTAGTTATTAAGACTTAAATATGAGTTTACAGTTTGGGGGTTGTTTGTGTTGTACATGTAATTAAACTGATACCATTATGTTTTAATATCTGAATATAATATTTTTTCTATTTATGGTCTGTGTTTCTATTGATTCACAATCAATCGTTTAAAATAGTGTTTTAGGTTCGATTTGGGTTTATTTTTTAAATGCATGTCAAAAGATCATCAACCTGTTTCCCAGTTGAAACCCTGACTTTGTCCTATTCCATTAAAAAGTTACTCAGATAAATTAAGTTTGCCAAATACCTCCTATGAGAATAAATGTTTCTTTATATATGCGAAAGAAATCATAGTTTAATACCAGAGATATCAATAGCACTTACTAATATGTGATGTAAAAGCTGTTGTATCCAAACAACATTCCAATCCATGCATACTTTTAAATATTTTAACTTTTTTTCACATGAAAGGTTTATCAAACCACTTACTCATGACTTACAATTTAGGTTCAGGATTGGTTTAATTAGACTGTGTTTAACTCCATTTACATAACAAAACTTTAATTGGAATTTGATAGTATTTTCACAGATTAAAAAAAATATTGCATATTTATTATTTGTAGTTGCAAAAGTAGAGTAGATAGTGGAGGAGCAGTTAACATTTTTGGGGGGCTTTTTTTCTGCAATAATTTGGTTATAAAATGATTACTTAGATTAATCATTTAATTAATTATGAGAGTCCAGCTATATCAATCTGTACAATGTTTTCATCTTTCCTGTAAAATCCTTGCATACAACACAGGTAAGGTTAATACATTACAAAATATGCAATTATGTCAAATATGAGCTACGATAATATTTGATATCTTTACTTTTTTTACTTTATAAGTAGCAAATTAAATAACAAAATACTGAAACTCTGTCTAGTGCAGAAGGGATTATTAACTGTACACTATATTGAATACATCAATATGTGCTTTTACTATCACATGGCAATCTCGGTAGTATCTCTGTATGTGTGCAGTTTGACTTATTTCACATATAGACCTGGCTGATATCATTTGCAGTGTGTGTCTGCTGTATAATTCTTAAGTACATTGAATTGGGTTCCAAATACTTCAATATTGTTTTTGGGCTACATAAATATTATATTCTAAGTAGAGTTCTAAGATGAGAGCTTATCTAATTGACAAGTGAAGTACGGAGCTATATCATTTACACCTAATAGAAATGAGGCTCCAAAGGACCAAAACAATAACAGTTATTAATTGAATGCAGATGGCGGATGGTAGAAAGCCTGTGGTAAAAATGGCATAATTCTGTTACTCTTCAATGTCGAGGTTAGGAAAGCAAGACAGAAGAGAAATCCTAACAAAGGAAAGGAATCAAAGCGAATATAGACAGTCAGACCAGAACACCAGGAAAAGTGAAATCCTATATCAAAGGCTAATAGCATTTATGTGTTATCTCAGATAGTTTCTAGAAAATGAAGAAACTAATGCTAGCTATAGATCTTAGACAATATTAGGCAATATAAAATGATCTTTAAAAAAAATGTACACTTTAATTGCATGAGCATGCATGTTTATGGCTACAGAGGAGCATGAATGGAGTGCAGGAAGATATCCCATGAGGTGGCTTTCCTCAGAGAAAATCATGACTAGTTGCTATTAGCTGGCCATTTATTTTATTGCCCGTAGACTTCTGGAGTGTTGCCCATTTGAGCTTAAATCATCTGAATCAAGTGACAACTATCTCGCGTCTAATCTTCCCTTAGAGCTATGGTGTGCCGCAAGTTTTGCAGCACTGAGATGGACAGTTCCCCAAGGCAAACCAATTCTCTGGGTTATTCATTTTAGATTGGTTAACATTTTGTGCTTCTAACCATTTTTTTAAATTTGTGTCCAAAATACAGTCCATGGTATACATTTGAAAAAGCTACAAGTACAAGTGCAAAATGGATGAGGAGATTTCTTTGTGACTTGGTGCTTTACTTACTACATTTTAGGCCACTGTTGGAGAATGATCTGCCAAATCAAGTTGTGTGCATGCAATTGTAAAATGCCATCTTCAGGACGAATAAACAAAATAAGTGGTTTATCAAGCATTTTGAAACTTAGTTACGCTTAGTTATGCAAGGACACCAGTTATTACTGCAGAAAACTACAGGATCAAAACTTGTATACCATCATCATTTTGGGATATATGAAATCATACATTTGTATGTTTGTGGCAGATGGAGTGCATAAAAAAGTATTTACAAGAATTAGATTTACTTTGAAGTGACACTAAACTCAGTAGTTAAATCATAAAAATGCATCCAAGTACCTCAACTATTAACAAAAATGTATCTTAATTGTGTATCACTCAGCTGTAGAACCTCTAATCATCTCTAAATTCATGCTGGCACTGTCCTTCCTTCTGGAGGGTGGTTACTTGTGTTCCCCATGGTCCCTGTGTGTGTTGTAAAGTAGCCACCACTCCAAGCTCTCTCCCATGATGGACTACAATCTCAATAAAAATAAGTAAACTAAATGTGAGAGAGCTTGGAGTGGTGGCTACTTTACAACACACACAGGAACCATGGGGAACACAAGTAACCACCCTACAGAAAGAAGGACAGTTTAAGAACCAATTCAGAGATGATTTGAGGATCTACAGCCGAGTGGTACACAAATAAGCTACATTGTTGTTAATAGTTAATGTACTTGAATGCGTATTTAACTCCTGAGTTTAGTGTCACTTTAAGTATTACTAATCGTTAATTTGCTTTTTCTGGGTGGAATGAATATGAGTCTCATATTGTTTGTGTTACATTATATACAGAGGTGTCCCTGCAATCTGTTATGGGAATTGTGTGTAAATGAGTAAACTCGTTTAATCCCTTGATTACCACAACAACAAAAAAACATTCTATTAAAAAAAATACTATAGTATTAGTTATCTGCCAATACTGCCATTCACTGCCTTTTCCAAATGTATTGCATCTGCAGTGTAGTGCTTGTAAATTTGCCTCCAAGTGTAATACCTAGTCCAACTTTTAAAGGTTAGCTGTAGTTTTATATAAAATGCACAAAACTCACAGGGGCTGCCTGTCTCGTAAGAGTTTGTGATCTTTAATTACTACATGAGTGCATTACAAATGTGTAATGGTATCACTACAGGTGGCTAAAAAACACTGAAAATACAGACCCAATAGTGCATGGTTTGCTGTGTAAAACACAGTGCACACGCGCAAATGTTCACACTGGTCTAGGCCTGTGATGACAGCTCACAAAACCCAGGGAAAGCAAAGCAGAGATAAAAGAATATATTTGCAAACTTGCTTGGTATTCCTGATTGTACAGCATTAAGTGCACTGCAATATTTGTGCAATAACTTTGAACACATGAAGAAGTCTAAGTAATGGAATTAGAAAACAATATTAATTACAACAAATTAGAGCATCTCTTACACATAAGACCAATATTGATAGTGTGTGCATAGTGCACTGCCTATTGCAGCAAAGTGGTAGCAATTTCTATGTACTTCTCTGCATAGAGGTTTGTAAAGCCTCTAGTAGAGAATTGTTAGAGAATAAGACGGAATAAGAATAAGGATAGTGTTACGAATGGTTAGCATCTCTGTTGGATTTGTTTTGCTATTTCTGCCTTGTTCTGTAAAGGGGAAACTTTCTCTAGCTGAGAAACAGGCAGCAGTAAAACCATTCTTCCCTCTTTTCAAAACTGAAAATATAAGTTTCGGCTGGAGCTGGGCTTTAAACCTTATATGTATACATATTCTGCAACCTTCAGAGAAAGTCAGCCACAGGCTGGTTCAGTGGAGGTGAGGTAGTATTCTAAATACTTTCAACTTTACAGCCCTTGAGCCAGCATGTGGCCAACCCTCACTAGAAATAAATGCTTCACCTTCAAGGGTACAGGGCTTTGAAACCTCCTTTTCACGCTGAGAGGTCATGGAAAATGTTGCTGCTTTGCATGTTTATTTGTGAAAATGACATATCTTCTATAAAATCATAAGCCACCCACACTTAAATAAATACACAAATTTAGGTTAGAAAGTGCCAATACTAATACCAATTTATAATTTAAAAAAAGAAGCAAAAAAGAGCAAAAAACAAGAACAGCTAGTAAGGCAACCATATAACTATGAAAGTGTGGTAAAATGTTGTCATTTAGCCCACATCCGCTTTCTGTTTCACCTGGAAAAGTTGTAAGAGAAGACCTCAATGTTGTTAAATTGATTCATTATTTTTAAAAAACTGATATGTTGTATAAAGTTCAGCTACATGAAAGGTTAATGAGGTTTAATTAAATACTTGGAAGAATCCTGAATGGGTGCCTCTGCGTATCTTTATACTATATTTTGGGGGCCAGAATAAACCTACCAGTGGATACATGTTCAGCAATACAAAGCTTTCTTTTTAAACAGTCATATTTTTATTGCAGTCATGTTTTAATTTGTTTTCTGCATGCTTTTTTGGGAACTTCCACTCAGTGACCTTAAAGGCGTAGACAACAATAAAGCCCTGGTAGAGCTTTCCCACTGTATCCAGAACTATCCAGACCAGTGAGATGTTATGCTATTAAGTGAGATCCGGCAGTTAATCAGGGTGAGCGAGGGGGCAACTCCATGAGGTAAGTGGAAGCATGTCTTTGCTGATTCTGTTGCCAGCAGCAGAATCACCCATATGACATTGCCCATATATTACCAGTTATGATCTGGTATGTCTGTATAGCCTTTCAAGTGCAAAGGAAGGGATGTTTATCTCAAGCTTCCACACTTATCTAAAGTTGAAAAATAATTGATTGTACACATACATATTTATCTTTATGTCTACAATTCCCCTTAAATGACAAGAAAAACTAGAACATTTCAAAGTAGGGCACCATAGAATTTTCAAGAGGCTGGTAATGCAAAT